CATTTCCCTCCAGTCCCCTCCACAGGCCCTGTGGCTCTCCCACCCCTCCCCCACCTCTCTCAGCAAGCTGCTTCCTGCACCAGCACCCTGTTTGCTTGTGCTATTTGTGTCTGCTTCTAACAGCTGGCCCCAGCCTGGCAGCCCCCAGCTCTGAGGAGGATCCAATTATCCCATTAGCCCAGCATGCCCTTCCTTCCTCTGAGCTTTCAGCTCCCCATCTCCCTCTCCCTCTTCCAGGGCTTGTCCATAGCCTCCCTTACTACTTCCCTAGACAGTCCTAAAGCTGAGTCAGCTTCCAGGCACAGGCCAAGAGATTACCAGAACTGGAAGGGTCATGGGCATCCATCCATCTCTTCATTGTTGTGCAAGGAAGGAAAGTTTCCCCCAGTACTCAAGTCACATGACCAGTTAATGGCAGCGGAGAACCAAAACCTAGGTCTTTGGACATCACGGCTCTGTTCTTTCTCACCACATGCAGTCAGCTTGTCCTATCATGTGCTCACTAGGGTCACTGCTGGGATGCAGGAGATGCTATTCCCATCCTAGGCTCTGGGGTTGATTAGGATGTATATAGTCTAGGTAGGGAAATAGAACACACACTGGTGAAAACAGCACATTGTCCGGGAGCTAAGATGTAACTTAGTAACAGAAGCCCTGGTACCAGCAGGTAACAAACTTCTGGTGCTGGCAGGCATGAGTGCGAAAGGACACAGGAGGTGTTGAGGTTTTCAGCAGAGGCTTCTGAGTGTCCTGTCTGCTACCCACTCCCTCCCCTAGAGTTCTGAGGTATGTTTCTTCAGATAGTCTGTGAAGCCTGGGCAGTTCTTAAAGTTGTGCAGATTCAACTGGTCCACATCCTAGGCAAAGATACCTGCCTACAAGCCAAGGTCAGGGAATGGATTAAGATGGTGGATATTTAAGTTTGGGTTAGTCAGGGGCAGGAGCACTTCCTTTGGTTAGCCTAGCTGAGGGATTGTTGTAAACATAATCCCTCACTGGCAGGATGGTCTTCTGTGACTGGGTGACCCATTTTCCGGCTATCTAAGCAGGGTGTTGTGCTTATTTTCTGAGCAAGCTGTTAAGACACCCTCCTTTGTGCCTGCCCTTGGTGCTGCTGCCTGAGACCCAACAGAGAGCTTTTCTCAAGTGATCTCTTCCTTGCCTGCTTCTGGTAACCTTATTAGGAGCGTGGTGGGAGCTAGCTGCACAAAGAAGCAAGAGGCAGGCGGTGGTAATACAAGGATCAGCCCATGGGGGAGCTAGGGAAGTGGCAGAGCTAAGAGTAGACCGTACACTGAGAGCAGCAGAGGCAAGGCTGCATAGTGGACAGGCGGCTGAGCCACAGGAGCTGCAATGCCAGAGGGCAGCCCTGGCTTTAACTCTCTGCAGAACTGTGAGACCAGCAGCACGGAGGCCATGTAACAGCGGCAGCAGGGCCAGCAGTGGGGCAGTATGGGGACAGTGGCCTTCGTAGCTGCGATACAAGCAACAGAGAGCTGAGGCAGAAATAACAGCATCAGCGAGGGAAGGGCCATTATGTGTGGCCGCAGGAGTGTCAGCTGGGACGGCGGCCACAAGAAGAGGTGGCTAGTTCAGAAGAGCCAATGCAGGAATAAGAGGAACAGCAGAGGTAGACAAGGAAGAGGGGAGAGAGCCGAGGCTGAAGAGGGAAAGATGATCAGAACAAGCCAGAAAAGAGAAACTGCACGCTGGTCACTGAATGAGTTCCAGAGCCTCAGAACTCTTAAGCCTTAATGGCCAAAGGTTTCAAATACTCTAGGCCTGGATACTCGAATCTGGCTCCTGTCAATGGCTGGGGTATCCTGTCTTGCTAGGCCTGAGCAAGAACTGTTAACACTTGTCACCGGAGCTGTAATATTGAGTGCTGACCATTGCTGTTCTCGGCTGTCTGCTGCTACCACTCAAAGCTATCAGAAACCAAGGGTTGCAAGAGCTGCAGATCCAGGGCATTTAGCCCTGCAGGGACAAGTGTTACAGCTCTTGTCTAGGCCTAAGCAGTTGGTATTCTCGAGTCTCAGCGGCAGCTAGTATTACAGATCTTTGTCCTAGGAAGTCTAAGACCCTTAGCTGTTGAGGCTGCCGTTGCCAGTCTCCACTGCTGGGTTCCACTGCTGGTACTGTCACTGGTTGCCCACGATTGCTCGGCTGCTTTTCCTGTGGCTCTGTGACTGTCAAGGCCGCCTGTAGTCCCCACATTCTGCAGCTTCACCACTGCTGGCCTCACTCTGTTGCTCTGTGGCTCCACCTTTTCTGTGGCTCTGCCACGGCTTCTTCATACATGTTCAGCCCATGCCATTAAAAGGAGGCAAGAAAAGGCCACTCAAAAAACAAGCCTGGGTTGGAGAGATGGCTCAGTGGTTAAGAGTACTGGCTGCTTTTGCAGAGGACCCGGGTTTGAATACCAGCACCCACATGGAGGCTAACAACCATCCATAACTCCAGTTCCAGGGATCCAATATTTTCTTCTGACCTCCTCAGGCTGTGTATGGCACAGGGACATTTACATACATGCAGGCAATACACTCATACACAAAAATAAAAATATTTTTAAAAAGCTTAATCGTGCAAAACCAGGCAAGGAAGGGGCTGCGCAAAGGACGTACTGCAGTTGGCTCACAGCCTGTTCATGCAGATAAGAGGTGTTCATGCCGATCACAGCGGCCCTCATGCACCTCAAAGACTGTGTTTATGCTATCTGTCCCCTTTGCACCAGTCTCAGCAGTCCTGCTAGTCACCGGGGGATGTACCCTTCTGGCCAGGGTAGAGAGGCTGCGGGGTCCTCTAGAGTTCATCCAGACTTATGATAGTAAAAGGTGCAATAGAAATGCAAACCGTTGAGGCTGGAGCTTCATCTTCAGAAGCCGAGCTGTGCTTCTGCAGTAAGCAGCAGCAATTGCTTTGTAGTTTCAAGGCATCTGTTCTGACAAAAGAATCATCTGGCTGGCTGCTTAACGGACTGTACCTTACACAAGGGAGCCAGGGCCTCAGGAAGAGTGACAGCTGTCAAATAGGGAGTCAAACTGCCTAGCCTAATCCCTCAACATCTTTGCTCATTTATAGGAAACATAAATAGCATTAAGAATGCTTAAAATTAAGACTCATCACTAAGTGATTTTAACAGTGCCTATAGTGTTTTATAAATGCGTATAAAACAGACCTAACATCCCAGGGAAACATCCTAATCTTACACATATTGATCACCTCTATATTTATACTCTCTATTTTCTCTCCTATTATTTCCACACACTAGCACTGCGTTCCATTTGCCCTATTAATATTTCCTTCATACAGTTTGGTGGTTGGGTTGAATCTGTTTGATATAAGGATTTGCCCTGCTTTCCTTCTTAGCCCTGCTTTTAGTTGTACAAGTTTAGTTGCTTTGTCAAACAAAGCAACATCCCATCCATACACATTCCAGCCCTGACATGAGGTTGCTCATGTAAGTCCCCTTCCCTGCTGGGCCAGGGAAGGCACAAGGCTACCTTCCCTGATGAGGAACAGTATGGGTGAAACTACAAAGCTCCGACCCCACCCCGACACTCTCCTTAACTGCAGCTTGAGGCTCACAACTCTCCCACTGAGCTACACCACTGCCATACAATTGGTCACACAGGTACTGCACTGACAACTGCCAAGGGGCTTCATGGAACTTTGAGTCTGTCTCTTAAAACCATCCTGGGACATAAAGCAGGATGGGGCACATAGCTCCCTTAATCAAATACGTGTAGGGAACTGAGTGAATTAGCGTGTAACTCAGGGGTCAACAACAGAAGTAGAATCACAGGCAGATGGACGGAGAAAAGAAGACAGCAAGAGGTTTAATACAGGAATTTCCTCTCTGATTAGGGGGCTGCTCAGGCAAGTCCAAGATCTGTAGGGCAGGCTACCAGGACATCAGGAAGGGCGGGCTGGGACTACTGGGTACTGGCTGGTGATCTGCCCTACAGATCACCCACGGAGGTCAGAAAAAGGTGTCAGGGCCCCTGGAACTGGAGCTACAGATGGTTTTTAACCACCATGTGGGTGTTGGGAATGGAACCCAGGTTCTCTGCAAGAGCAGTCAGTGCTCTTAACCACCGAGCTATCTCTCCAGCCCCCATCATTAATGTCTTTAAGCCAAATCAAATGAGAATGCCACAAAGCTAGAACCAAAGAGAAACACTCATCCTTGAGATTCCATTCCTCTAGGATTGCTTTTGGCATCAAAATCTGTGTCCAGAGAGGCAGGCTGAACCTCTCACAAGGGCTGGAGCTGTTGTCCACATACAATTTGATTCCTTCCTCCTCATGGAAGTCTCAGAGCTGATCTTTAGGACTTCCAACAGATTGAGGCCCACTGAGGTTCTATGGCATGTCAAAAGGTTATATACTTTAATAGCATTTTGTTTTGTTTTTGACTTTTTGAGACAAGGTCTCCCTGTAGCTCCAGCTAGCCTGGAACTATGTAGACCAGGCTGGCCTTGAACTCACAGAGATCCACCTACCTCTGCCTCCCGAGTGCTGGTATTAAAGGTGTATGCCACCACACCCAGCTACTTTAATAGCATTTGTAAGATACCTTCACACAGAGCTGGGCATGGTTGCACATGCCTGTAGTCCTAGCTACTTGGAAGGCTATGACAGGAGGACAGTTTGAGCCTGGGAGTTTGAGACCAGCTTGGGCAATATAGTGAGATCATGACACAGACCTCCAAATCCTTTCTATGCACTTCAGTTTCTATCTACCTGAGGGTTGACAAGGTACGTTGACACATCTGAAAACCATCCAACCCCTCTATAGCTATGCATAATCTCGGTGACTCTCCATCTGCCCACTTCCTCTTTCCACTAGCACACAGTCTCCTAGACTGACCCTCAAGGAGATGACAACCCCTGGGACAGGAGCACCCCATATGCCTAATTCAAATATATTTGCAAAAATAGGCACTTGGGAATTACAGGTTGAATTTGTATAACATAAAACAAAACACTTTATACTATCCAGTTGTATTTAATGAATCTTTAATACGATTAAACCATCAACTGAATCCCAAAGCATTTCCAGTACCCCAGAAGAAAACCACACGCCCATTTTTATCAGTCACGCTCCCTCCCTCTTTCCCATTCTCTGCTCCTCCTACCCCAGCATTTTATAACCATCTATATATTTTCAAACTCATTCCCTGGACACCCCAGTTGTTCCCACACCTAACCCGCCTAGACACACAGGGGCTGACGCCAGGTCCTCCTTCACGATGGTGGGACTGTAATTGGGTTTGACAACTTCAGCAAGCTCCCGGGCATACATCTCATATCTGCCTGTCATCTGAAAGCAAAACATATACTTCTGTTTTAAAAAATTCCTACTCTTTACTTGCTACCAGCTCTTGCCACTAGGGGGCGGCCATAGGACAGAAATGTATCCATTGTGCTGGTTGACAGCACAATTTCAGACTGGGATAGAGAGAAGCAACTGCATTGTGACCTCAGAACTGAAGTCAGTGAAATTCATGGACAAAAGACACTTCACAAGCCCAGCCCAGCCCGGTGTACAGTGACCTCTCCATCTAGGAGGTGTGGTCTGCTGTGAGGCCGGATGGAGGAGGGGTGTCCTGTGCTTTCCAAGAACCCCTGAGACTCAGAATAGAGTGGCCCCAACAGAAGCAATTTGGATTCAGGTCTCTTGGCTGAGCCTGAGGCCTTCCTGTTCCTCCTGTTCCATGTGGCATCTGATTAGAAACAGATGGAGACCAGGGCTGGGAGCTGGAAAGCCCACCCATGTTGCTCCTTCCCGGGCCTCCCTCCCTCCCATCCTCCCCTTCCCTTGCCAGCTCCTTTCAACACTGGACGAGAGCTCACGCCCATCTCTGCTGGGAAGCCTTTTGCTTTGCTTTGGGAAAATCTAAAGAGAACATTCTACTTATCCCTGGAGATACTTGTTAAAAGAGCTGGGTACATTCATGGGTCCAGGTTCTGACTTAAATCGAATCCTGCGTTGATATCGGCTGCCCAAGAGGAGGGACAGGCCAGGAGACCTCGTGGGCACTGTCTTGCTTGTCTTACAAGAATCTGAGCCTGGAGAACGATTGAGGACCCACACTCAGGTCAGTGGGGGAGGTCTAGTCCATGTCTGGCTGGACAGGGGTGCTAGGGCTTCTCCCAGCCACACTCAGCAACGCCATTCAGTCATTTGGAGCAGGACATTCATCTTTACTCACAAACGGCTGAATGAGTGTAACAAACCTTGCAGTCACCCCGTCCCAGCACAGCAGGCACCTGCATGCTCACAGTGCTGACCCCAGAGGGTATTAGGCAGCAGCATTGAAACTGGGTGTCCTAAAGCCTGGGAACAGAAGACACTCGCTCCAGGGGAACTGAGTAAGATGGACCGAGAGGCAGGTCTAGATCCGGCTTGTCCACTGACCCATTTCCCACTATTGTCAAGGCCTAGACTGTGGAGCCCGGTGGCAGGCAGAACCAGACACGCACATTTATCTTTCAACAAGTGCAAAAGCCTAGAAAGAAAAACAGGATCACAGAAGCCAACCCACTGTATTCTCTGGACAAACGAAATTGAGATTAATTTGTGGAAGGTGCCCAGACTCTCAATCAGATGAGGGGAGCAATTGAAGCCTGCTGCTTGTGCATCGTTTTGTCTAATGCCTCCTCTCCACAGCCAGCAGGGTACCAGCAGAGTGGGGAGCTGGTGCCTCCTGCCAGCTGCCTGTAGGAACGAATGTTGCAGTTCCTGCCACTGCAGACTGGATGGAGGCCAAAGCAGAGGAGCAGGCAACAGAGGGGCCTTAGACCCACCTTGAAGTTCCAGATGTCATTCATTTGCTGACAGAGGTTGAGGTTGAGCTCAGCAACCAGCAACCCATCCCGATTACGTGAGAGTCCAGGAGTTCGGCTGCCATCAGGAGCTGACACATAGCTTGAGCCATAAAAGTAGCCGAAGTCACAGTGTGCTTAAGAGGCAAAGACAAGCAGCCATGAGCTTGTACATGGTGTGGGTTCTGCAAAGGGGCAGGCTTAATGGAGGGAAAAGTGGGCCAAGGCATCCATACCACCTCCCCAGTGTCTGCCATAGGCTGAGGGCCAAAGGACCTGTCTCCCTCCTCAGGCCTGAAGGTCCTCCATGAGGTTGGACCTACATCACTTGCTGCCCTTAAGAACATCTCTAAATGTCACCTTTTAGAGGTGTTAGCTCTTTCCTCTCAACACCAGCAGCTCAAAGCCCTAGGGAGTCACAGGCTCTAGGGGCTTCCTGTGTGACCCACTTCCTGTGGTAGCCCCACTTGGGAAAATGCAAAAACTGCCTTGCTTGTCTTGCCAGCTCACCCCTTCTCCATGCCTCAGGCCCTTCACCAGTGCAGAGTGCTAAGAGCTCCCAAGGTGAATGAGGATGCCCATCTAACACAACACAGGCTCAGAGCCCCCTTTCACCACATCTTCTGTTTGTCCATTGTAAGGAAACAAACTGCAATTGGGGTGCCACCAGGTGCTTCACCTGGAGGGAATCTGGAAAACAGTTCTGTTCACCCTCCTATAGCTTTCTGGGGGTAACCTACCAAGCCAGGTAAGATACCTCTTGGCAGCCCTTTCCTCTCACATCCTTGGCCAGAGTCATGGGACCCTGAGGTGGGGATTTCTAGCAGGTGTGTTGGTAGCCGCCCTCAGACCACAACGTACTGCTTACTCCAGACCGATGGCAATCTGTGCTGACTCAGGGGCATTGGTACAGCTGGGCGGATAGGGAGGAAGAAGGAAGATGGGAGCCTGTGTGCAGGTCCTCTGCCCCTTCTAGGGAGCTCACAAAGGGTCCCCCATATCTCTATGGTCCATTTTCACAGTAGTCCTGAGGAGGCAGAGAGACCAGTCCCATTCCCATTTGATCCCCAGTTGGAGAAAAAGGTGGTCACCAGTGAGTGACCCCAGCCACCGTGGAACTCCCACAAAGCAAAAAGCAAACAGAGGAGAGTCGGTGCTCCCTTCTGAAGTGCTAAACATACAGACAGGCTGTGGGTCAGACCCTGCCCAGAGGAAGTAGATGGAGAAGGCGAAGATGAGGCTGACCAAGAGGAAAGTTCAGGAACATACCTTTCTTTCCATCTCCTGAGGTAAACTCATTGGGGAAGTGCTCCTGTGAATAAGAGCAAGGTTAAGAGGAACCTCTAGGTGGCAGCACCAGGACGTTCAGGACATCCACTTAGCAGACCAAGAGAGCAAGCTGACCAAGGAGGAACGCAGTGAGGTGGAAGGGTCTGTCCTCACTGGGCAACCGGCAAGATTTGTCAAGTGTCCTGCCTTGGGAAGCCAGCAGGGCACTCCACAGTCAAGGTAAAGGCCTGGATTCTGCATCTGGGTTTATAATCCTGGAGGAATTAAGTTGCCTGGCACCCACAGTGCTCAGGGTTGGGCAATGCATGTAAGGTCAGCCAGTCTGAAGAAATAACATCCTACCCTCAATAATGAAACAATTAGGGTTTCTTTTCTGGTCAGAAATCATTTAGATTTATGAGGAAGTTTTGGTTTTCTCAGACTGACAGTTTAGTGTTTCTCAGGTGATTAAATAAAATGAGGGTTATCAGCACGTGAGAGTTCAAGGTCAGCTAATAAATGCACTGTGTAGTTGTTCAAACTATGCAGTGCATGGGTCCTTTGATGAAGGCGAAGATTAAGAAACTGGACACCTAGAAAGGAGAAAGCACAGGGTACAACCATGATTTCTCATGACCTTTCAGCTAAAGCAAATCAGCTAGAAGAAAGAAATATACCTCGTGGCAAAGCATGCCTGTGACCCCAGCATTTAGGAGGTGGCAGAAAGATGATCAGGAGTGCAGAGCCATCTCTGGCTACATAGTGAGTCTGAGGCCAGACTGGGATGTACAAGACCTTATCCCCAAAACAAATCAGAAATGAGCAAGAGGAGAGAAGAGAAGAGGTAGGAAGGGGAGGTAAAGTAAGCAGGGGGAGGAGAGAAGGAGGGGGGAAAACACCCTGCCAGACTAAGCCATTTTCCTTCCTGGAACCCTGGAATCTGTGGCATGTATGCAAAGGGAATGGGAAGAGGGGTCCCCACCAAGGCCAGCAGTCACTGGCTCCTTTCCTCAGCCATTCCCCAGACACATACCTGACCCACACGGTTAATGGCACAAGTGAAGCAATGATTGGCAATGGCTGCATTTCTGGCTTCAATTGGCCACAGGGACTCACTGTAAGAGAGGATCAGGAAGAAACAGGTTGTAGACTTCCCAGCCAGAGTCTGTGGATGCTTATCCTGAGACACATCCTGGCTGCTGGCCTTCTTGAGCCTGTGGCCCAAACAAACCTGGAAGGAGAGCTGGGCATGATGCCAATCTAGCACTTAGGCAGCTGAGGCAAGAGGAATGTGAGTTTGAGGCCAGTCCAGGTTACACCATAAGTACTACACCAGCCTGAGCTAGACAGGCTCTTAAAACAGACAAAACACCTATCAGCTGACCAGCTTGGCTTCGACTCCCTGCTTAATTAATCGATACCAGTTTTCTGGGGAAGGCCAAATCCACATGGCTATAGTCTACTGGGAGTCAGACAGCCCTGCTTCAGATCCTTATCCTAAGCCTCAATCTCTTGCAAAATATCCTCAAAAAGAGACAGTGCAGATTGAATGGTCATGCTGGAGCTCCACATGGTGGTTGTTTCATAACTGTCATGCCCACCTTCCTTTTCTCTCACAGGGAAGCCATCTCCGAGCTGGGCTAACAACTCGTAAATCAGACAGGAGCTAGGGGTTTAGGGTCTATGAGGGCTGAGCCTGCTCTGTCCTAACAGCCTTATTCTGCTGTGCAAAGTGTCTCCAAAGGGAGTGGATTTCTTATAGTAAACAGTTAACCAGAAGGACTTTAGGCAATGCTCTTGGGGATGGCATTCTGTAGCAGAGTCCCCACCTCCAAATTGATCTCTGTTTCTCAGCCCAATTTTCCTCTTCTGGATCCTGCATCTCTAAGCAGCGTTTCATGGTTCCTTACTGGCCACCTCACTGACACAGCTGAGCTGTGGACCTTCCTCAGTTCAGCACCCACCAAAGAGAGTAGTATACCCTGCCCTTTAGCCTGCCAGCTCGGACACACCATAAAATTAAGTGGGCCTTCTGGTCACCAGCTATCTTGTGTCCAGGGAAAAACATTAAGATTCCAGATGGGCAGAAGCAACGTCCATTTAGAAACACCAAGTAACTGAGAGCAAAATGCCCCGTGATCTTCCTTCCCATCTGTGCACCTAGGTTCAACCAAGAAGGAGGTGGAAGTGGTGGGTGCCTGTCAAAATTCTAATTCTTTGGAGGATTTATGGGTCTAAGAAAAGGGAAAAGGGGGAAAAAAATCACAGGCTTAATTAAGGAGACTCATTTTGCTGTTTTAAAAAAATTCCCTCATTTGCTAAGCCAAGCTGACAAAACTTTTAAGAAAGGAGTTTTGCAGAAACATACTTTCAGGAATTAAACAGGCACTTATGAGGCAACTTCCCTAAACTGTCTTTCTTGCAAATCTCCAGGGAGATGTTCTGTATTGGAGTCAAATCCACAGCTGGGAATGGAATGTATGCTTTCTAAACTGCAAAGGAAAAGGAGGTTTGAAGTTCATTAGAGTCCAGTGTGTTTCAGAAGCAAGTCCCAATGTGTGAAGATAACAGAAAGCTAAGGTCTGTGACAATGACTTTTGATATCAGCCCATTTAGGCTGTGTAGACAAACCCTGCAATTGTCAAGATGATTCACTGCATGTAAACTTCACAGTCCAGTGTGGGTTTAGAATTGTGGAACATAAAAATAAGCAAGGACACCTAGCTGACCTACAAAGTAGGCACATGTATGTTTGTCTAAGATACAGAGGAGGACGAAGATGCCAGGAAAAGGGGTGGATGGCTCTGAAAACTGTGACCTAACGTTGGGGGTTGACTAGCACTGGGCTTTTAAAAAAATGAAAACACTTATTAGTTCCACAAATAATCATGGATCATTGTAAGAAAATCTCTGATATCCCCGCATCTTAAACAAACCGCCTGCTGTCATTTTGCCATGCTGTACGACTACCCTTTCCTATAGGAAGTAAAAGAAGTTACAGAGTTCTGACCACATACAGCTGCGATACATCTTTTGATTGCTCATAGGTTTTTGCTGCAATGTTGCATTATCTCCATGACTTGTTTTAGTTGCAATAACCCACAGAAAAAATGGGTTGAAATGTGCTTAGCCCTGACATTTCACTTGCATGCCACCATCACCACAAACATCTCACACACAATCTTGTCCACTTCGACATTACATCCTCAGGCTACAATTCCAGGACTATTGTCACCTGCTTAAAGGGCATACCATGAAATGTACTGCTTTCCTAGAGCCCTGATACAGGTCTCCCTACCTGTATATCTCTCCTGCTTATCTCCCTATGCCCTTGAAAGCTAAGGTCTGGAAAATTCTTGGCTAAGGAAGGAAAAATCGGTCATTTTCAATAAGCCTAATAAGCTGCTAAGGACATAAATAGTCATGTGCCTACTACATGGGGTCACTCTTAACTTGCTTAACTTGGGTTAAGAAAAGCTCAGATAGCAGGTTGGGGAGAGCCTCTGTACGCACAAGGTGAGGTAGCTGTGTCTGGCCATGTGCCCAGTGAGTGGACTTCAGGCTCCTCTAAGAAAGGTGGGGGGTGAGGGAGATGGAGCTCTCCAAATGTTTTACACATCATTGGTAGGAGATACTCTATGGTGTGGCCTCAAGGTCCCAGAGTCCTAGAAGATGGATGAGTAATGACCATCTTGCGTTACAACTGCTAATGGATAGTTACCTGCATTTAAACCTCCACAAGACCCTGGCACATTTTCTGAGAGGAAACCCTCAGGGAAGATCCAAGGCCCAATATTTTTCCTTCTGCCCAACAGCAGCTCTCCTGAACCCATAAACTTGGGCAGAGCCATGCCATGGGCTGGAGTCACGGACCAAATAAAAGGGGAAAGGAAAAGGCTAGTTGAGTAGCAGAGTGAATCGCTGCCTCCTCCTCAGAGGATGCAGTATGATCACACCTACTGCCATGCTTTCCCTACCATGATGACCCATTCCATCACACCATGAGCCCAAACATGAACCAAACAAACCCGCAGATGCTTATTCCTTTAAATTGCTTCTTGTCAGAAATTTTGGTCACAGTAACAAGAAAAATAATAATTCTGGTAATTGGTATGGGAGTGGGATCTTTGCTGTGAGAAACCTGGCCTTTTATGGGAAGAAATGCTGAAGATTGGACTGGAGATGCCCTAGAATGCAGTAAGCACGATTAATGACCCATTTTGGGCCACATTTAGAAGAGCAAAATGCTGATAAAATGCAGACAGTTAAAAGTGTGTTCGTGAGGTTTTGGAGGATAAGAAGCACTTTACCAAGAAGTAGGATGTGGCCATTCATTTTAGAATCAGGCTAAATGTCCTCAGACTTTGAGTGAAGAGGAATTCAAAAGTAATAGACTCATTTGTCTGGTTAGGGAAATTTCAAGCTTTGGTATGCTCACTGTGTTCTGCTCTTATCCAGGTTTACAGTGAGAAAGAGAGAGGGAAGGGGGAAGAGTGAGTAGGGCAGGAAGATGAAAATTATTTGAAAATGGACTGAACTGAGAATGCCCTTGGAAAGTTTCTATTCTATAAAACCACTGCCTAGGGGAGTGTTTCCCCAGGTCCAGCCACCAGGCACGCAGAGGCCACTACGATAAGGGGGCCAGGCTCTTCACAAGCTAGCAATGGAACCTGGCAACGCTGTCCACATGGTGCTTGTTTTCCCGGCACGAAAAATGCAATAGTTACAAAGTCATGGAGGCTTGCATCAAGGTTCCAGAAAGCCACTGAAGCCAGGCAGTGTGTGTCAGGATCAGATCCCTTACAATGGGGCCTTAGAGGAAGGCTCCATTCAATTATATATCCCTTTTATAACTGATTGAAGCTGTGATGCCTAAGATGCACTGGAGACTCCAGGCTATGGGAGACAGAACGACTATGGGATATCCACTGAGGAAATCTGCAGGCATGGAAAGGAGCTGGCCCAGGAGAGGCTGCACATGCTTCCATCAGGACCTCAGAAGTCCGCCACAGAGCTTCAGGATTTGGTGTTTTCTCTGCTAGATTTGTCTTGCTTTGGTCTGATCTTTGGTATGGCCCTGTTCCTCCCTTTTATAATGGAAATATTTGCTTTGTGTTTTTGTATCTTGGAATCATAGAACTTGGTTTCTTTTTCTCATTTTTTAGGGGTTCACAGTCAATTTCCTTGAGTCTCAGAAGAGACTTTGGACTTCTGAACAATGTTGGAACTACTAAGAGATAGGGGACTGTTTGCATTACTACACAGGCATGAGATTTGAGGACCAGTGGTATAAAGCTATGAGTTAAAAGTGACATCTTTGCATGTCAAGTTGACAAAGGAGGGACTTCTGATGATTTAACCTTCATTGTCAACTTGAATGAATTTACATCAACTTAGAGACACATCTCTGGATGAGTCTGTGAACATTCACACAGAGGTTTAACAGGGGAGAAAAGATCATCCCCAAACTCCAAAGCTGGGCTGGGATCCTAGAATAAATAAAAAAGGGGAAAGGAGAAAGCCAGGTGTGTTCCAGCATTCATCTCTCTATGCTTCTTGACTGCAGACATGATGTGATGCCTCAAACTATCTTCTGCCCATAAATTGCACCTTGTCAGGCATTTTCACAGCAATATAAGACAAATAATGTAGTGGTGCATGCCTTTAATCCCAGCACTTGGGAGGGACAGGCAGGTGGATCTCTGTGCGCTTGAGGCCAAGTTTGAAGACAGCCACACAGCCAAAGCTACAAAGAGACCCAGTCTCAATATGTGTACACACACACACACCCTGTAATCCTCCAAAATGCTTATCCAAAGTGGAAGAGAGAAGTGGCATAAGCATGGCTGTGTGGAGCTATCTCAGCTGACATGCTGACCAGGGTGTCCAAAAAACACACCTACTACCTACCCCAGCTCTCAGCAATACCATAACAAAGCAATACCATAATAGTTTTTAACTGTTTCAGCGGTGAAGCTGATACTCAATACGTTTTATGTATGATTAAGGGGAAACTTTTCATTGGTTAGAACAACTTTCCTGGATCATTCCTATTCCTCTGGGCTAGAGTTGCTTCCTGTGTTCTACCTCTCTGGGGGACTTTGCTGGGCATGGCAGAGTTGGGGTCAGGATTCTGGGTTTGTTTGTTTTGACAGGGTCTCTCTAGTCCCAGACCACCTGGAAGTCACTATGTGGACCCAGTTGACCTAGATCTCACAGAGGTCTGCTTGCCCTGCCTCCTGAGGGCTGGGATTAAAGGCATGTGCCACCACACCCCGGTGGGGCTCAGGATTCTGAAGGTGCCTGTTCAGGAACTAATTCTGACTACTGGGGCACCTGTTGTGCTTCAGGACTTAGAAGTCAAGCTTTGTGAGTCCTGACTGTCATGCACAAGGGTAGGAGTATTACTTTCATCACCAGTGTTCAGAATCCCAGCAAAGGATGCTGCCAATAGGAGAGTGGTTCTTTTGGGAGGTGGGATTTTATAATGGTCATCTTGAGGATTCACTGAAAATCTGATTAAATGTACAATATCTAACCATGAGCCTGGAATCTGGACATCCTGGTGACTATGCCTGCTTACCACAGTTTACCAAACCCATGTCTGCACCCGAAAACTTCGCCCTGGGCCTGACACAGTGGCCCTAGAAAGCCCCGTATCTCGCCCACCAATGACCTGAGTTCTCCAACAGTGGCTGAAGGATTGAAGATGATCTCGGCTCCATTGATGCTGTACATTAACCAGTTGAGGGGGTGATGCCGCCCGTAGCAAATGTTGACTGCAATCCTGCCAAACTGGGTCTGGAACACAGGGTGGCCCAGGTTTCCCTCCATGTAGTAAGTTGACTAAAAAGCATAAACAAAGAGCCGTATTAATGCCTCAGAGCTGAAACAATTCCCCTTTCCTTGCACTCAGCAGAAAAGAATATCACCAGCAATCTAAAATAAACATTTGGGTGTGACTCTATTTTAAGTTCCAGAATTCAATATGCAAAAATGCACACTGACCCAAACACAATAACAAAGCTATTCCAAGGGGAAATCACTATAGCTTAAGTATTTACCCACAGTCTGCTTTGTGGTATGTCAAACTATGGCTAGGTTTCAATCATGATACAAGTAAGGCTGAGGTTTGGTCACTGTTAACAGGAGTCAGTTGGCAGCCTTACCAACCATATATCCTTATGCAGAACATTAGCGGTAGAAAGACCCAGATTCATCCAGAACAACCCTTTCTCTTTCCTATTTTTCTGAAACTGTCATTTGAATAGGTGTGGGCCTTCCCCAACTCACTAAGGCCACATCTGAGACTGAACCCATACCTTCTACATAGCACCTTAGGCATCCTTCCTGGGGTTAAAGATCCCCTGCATGAGGAGGAGATGGGAACTTCATTCTCCCGTCTCTGTGCCTCTGCCTAAGCCCTCAGTTTGCTCCCTCTGGAACATGATCAGGATAGCTGAGAGAGGTTAGAGGGCAAGTTGAATCCCAGTATTAGTTCCAGGGTAAACAGGTGACGAGAATGTCTGTCCTGCCCCACCTCCGGCTGTTACCTAAAACACCCATTCTCTTCTCTCCCTGTACCCCTGTAGATGGTTTCTCACCTTGTTGACCACCTTGAGAATAGGCCAAATCCCCAAATCAAGATGGGAGGCCTAAGGATCAGGGACATCGTATCCTGAACAACTGCACTCCTTAATAATCAAATTCAGATTTAGCATCTTAGACATTACGTAAATTTGATTTCTGTCCTTCAAAAGTCCACCACCTCCAGCTCACCACCCTCGAATGGCATTTACCAATCAAAACAGCCTCCCTGACTTCTTATCACAGGCATGAGAAATTCCATGTAACCATCAATCTACACAAACAGACATTCAAAGACACCTGAACATGAGGCAACTCAAGATACCATGTCACAAAGAATACCACCCACTAAAACTAGGATTGTACCATGGTTGGCTAGGTGCTCAGAGCCCCTTCAAAGGGCCCACAGGAATCATTTCACATTTGTGCACTATTTATGTACCAATTGCCTCAGAGAATTACAAAAGCCAAATCAAGATATTGTACACATGGTATATATATATATATATATATATATATATATATATATATATATATATCTCACATTATATTGTATCAAAATCAAAATCACAACAGAAAAAAATAATACTATGGAAACCCTAAACAGTAT